CAGGTTGCAGTCGCTCAAACGGTAGTAAGTGAAAGCCGGGTTCACGGAAGGCGTGCAGCCATCCTGAAAAAGCCAACACTCGCCGTTGTTGCGTATTGAATGTAAAAACGTGAACGTCGTGATTGCCACCCTAGACTCAACAAGTTCTTCTTGTTGGGAACTAACTTAGCAAGGCAAATGATGACGCTTTGGAAGTAATGCATGGAAAGTTGAAGTTCCCCTCTGTATTGTAGTGCAGTTTAGCATTACAAATTCCAAAACACGACGTAGAAATGTCGCTCACGCTCATGGGGAAGTAGATGCGCATCACAAACGTTCGCGTAGGGTTCCAGATCCTGTATATGCAAATCCGCATGACAAGAACTATGGGAAGTCGGGGACGTCTTTATTTTTACTCAGGATAGCTCGCGTGAAAAAGCCACCGCAATTCGGGGTGTTCGCGCACTGGTAGCGGCACTTATGGGAATGTCAGGGTCGAAATCCACAAGAATTCGCCATGCATAAAGTAGATACCACTTGGAACCGAGCTGGCACGTGGCGCACGACAAATCTCGCCAGCATCGAAATCGAATTTGTCATGCTGTTTGGGCAGAGGATACTGCTTTTGTCATGCTACTTTAGCAGCCTGGTCGATTTCGATTCTGACACTCCCATAGCACTCGGCGACGCTGTAAACCCGGTCGTTGTAGTAGATGCCCGACCCGAGCTGTATCAAATGCAAATATGTCTGGGTCTGGGAGGATGCACGGTTTGGCATGCACATTGTGCATGAGTGTTGACGTCTGTGATGCATCATGCCCTAGCATCACAGAAGATCTTGTGAGGGCTTCCTGACCCTCACCCTGATGCCTATACCGCATGAGAAATGTTGCCCTCTAGCCGTGGCAAAAAGAAATAAAACTGGATCTCTTTATTTGCTGTTCATGCAATACAGATTTTTCTTGTCGTATCCATCAAATGTTGCAGCATCACAAGTAAGTTACATCCTTCCAGACCCAGACTACATATTTGCAAAATGCATAAGCTGCTTGTCGTTCATGTTCGCGCAGGCGCCCTGGAAGGTGGAGGGGCAGGAGGTCCCGTCCACGCGGGGCACGTACGCCTTGCACTTTGCCTGGTTTTGCGCCATGCTCCAGTGCTGCCACCCTGCCGCGGAAGATTGCGTGCAGCCGTCCACGAAGTACATAGCACTACCGGTGTTCTGGTTGCGAAACATCGCCACGCAGTTGTTGTCGTAGCCGCGGCCCCGACAAAACAGGTCGTAGTCGGTAATCTTGCTGTCGGCAATATTGGTCTGGGCCACCGTGATATCAAATGTAAAAATGTCTGGGTCGGGAAGATTCTGAGACCTGTCATGCATGTTTTGCATGACCCAGGATGTCTTGTCTGTAATGCACGACCTAGCATCACAGAGTTTTAGAGGGCTTCCTGATGCCTACTCCGCATGACAAACGCCCTCCCCGCGTAGCACAAACTAGACTCCTCTTGCTGGTCATGCAATACAGATTTTATGCACTATCCGCAGATGGGTCATCCTGTGGGATGAGCATTTCCTTCTGTGGAGGAGTGAAGGCGCCCGAATCATGGAGCGCCAACCCCTCTCCTGCCAGAAGAAAGCAGAAGGGTCTCTGTCCGTTTATAGGCACGAGACCGCATGAACCATCCGCAGACCAGTGCAAAACGATACATCCCCCGAGGGGGTGAACCAGGGTGGGAGGGTGGGCAAAACTAACAACAGACCCGAGGGCCATCTTCACACACATACAACTTTCTCAGGTTCTGGCTACCGTAAAACATGCTAGGGCGGGGCCGATACATAAAATACCGCCCGCCCAGCCTCAGCCTTGGCTCACAGGCTCGCAAGACTGCTGCTGCCCGGGCATACATTT